TCTCTCTCTCTCTCTTTCTCCTGTCTCTCTCTCGCTTTCTTCTCTCTAACACTCTCTTTCATCTCTCTCTGTCTTTGTCTCTTTTTTCCCTGTCTCTGTCTTTCCTCTCTCTTCTCTCTCTCTCACTCTTTCTTCTCTCTCTCGCTCTGTCTGTCTCTGCTCTCTGTCTCTGTTTTTGCTCACTCCCTCTCTCTTCTCTCTCGCCCTCTCTCTTCTCTCTGTCTCGCTTTCGCCTCTCTCTCTGTCTCGCTTTCGCCTCTCTCTTTCTTCACTATCTGTCTTTCTCCTGTCCCTCTTTCTTCACACTCTCTCTCTTTCTTCACACTCTCTCTCTTTCTTCACACTCCTACTTCACTCTCTCTGTCTTCTCTCTGTCTTTCTCCTCTCTCTCGCTTTCTTCTTTCTGTCTCGCTTTCTTCTCTCTCTCTCTCTCTTTCCTTGCTTTCTCGTTCTTCGCTCTCTCCCTCTTTTGTTGCACTCTCCCTCTTTCTTCGCTCTCCCTCTTTCTTTGCTCTCCCTCTTTCTCTTTTTTCTCTCTCTCTGGCTTTCTCCTCTCTCGCTTTCTTCTCTCTCTCTAGCTTTCTCCTCTCTCGCTTCCTTCTCTCTCTCTCTCGCTTTCTTTTCTCTCTCTCTCTCTCGCTTTCTTTTCTATCTCTCTTTTTCTCCTGTCTCTGTCTGTCTGTCTGTCTCTCTCTCTTCTGTCTCTGTCTGTCTGTCTGTCTCTCTCTCTTCTGTCTCTCTCTCTCTTTCTTCGCTCTCCTTCTTCGCTCTCTCTGTCTTCTCGCTGTCTTTCTCCTCTCGCTCGCTTTCTTCTTTCTGTATCGCTTTCTTCTCTCTCTCTCTCTTTCCTTGCTTTCTCGTTGTTCGCTCTCTCCCTCTTTCTTTGCACTCTCCCTCTTTCTTCTCTCTCTCTCTCTTGCTCTCGCTTTCTTCTCTCTCTCTCGCTTTCTTCTCTCTCTCTCGCTTTCTTCTCTCTCTCTCGCTTTCTTCTCTCTCTCTCTCGCTTTCTTCTCTCTCTCCCTCGCTTTCTTCTCTCTCTCTCTTTCTTCGCTCTCTCTCGCTTTCTTCTCTCTCTCACTCTCTTTCATCTCTCTCTGTCTTTGTCTCTTTTTTCCCTGTCTCTGTCTTTCCTCTCTCTTCTCTCTCTCACTCTTTCTTCTCTCTCTCGCTGTCTGTCTCTGCTCTCTGTCTCTGTTTTTGCTCACTCCCTCTCTCTTCTCTCTCGCCCTCTCTCTTCTCTCTGTCTCGCTTTCGCCTCTCTCTCTGTCTCGCTTTCGCCTCTCTCTCTGTCTCGCTTTCGTCTCTCTCTTTCTTCACTATCTGTCTTTCTCCTCTCTCTCTTTCTTCACTCTCTCTTTCTTCACACTCTCTCTCTTTCTTCACACTCCTACTTCACTCTCTCTGTCTTCTCTCTGTCTTTCTCCTCTCTCTCGCTTTCTTCTTTCTGTCTCGCTTTCTTCTCTCTCTCTCT